ATAGATCTTTAGTCTAAGGCAAAGGAAAGGGTTTTCTTTTACAGTAAGAACAATGTGGAACTAATTGGCGTTAAAAGGTTGCTTTATCAAAGTATGTCAACATTTTTAAAGGACCACTCTAGGCACCCAGACCACTTCAGCTTAATGAAGTGGTCTGGGTGCCAGGTCCAGCTAGGGTTAACCCATTTTTTAATAAACATAGCAGTTTCAGAGAAACTGCTATGTTTATCAATGGGTTAAGCCTTCCCCTATTTCCTCTAGCGGCTGTCTCATTGACATTATGAATGCTTTTCTATGTGACCGGCTGAATGCGCGCGCAGCTCTTGCCGCACGTGCGCATTCAGTCGACAGGGAGGAGAAGAGGAGGATTGGAGGAGGAGAGCTCCCCACCTAGCGCTGGAAAAAGGTAAGTTTTTACCCCTTTCCCCCTTCCAATCCTTCCAGGGGGACCCTGAGGGTGGGGGCACCCTCAGGGCACTATAGTGCCAGGAAAACGAGTATGTTTTCCTGGCACTATAGTGGTCCTTTAACAGTGACTGCATGATTTCTTGCAAAAGCATACTATTCAGAGATATAGTTTTAATATGTTCCCTTTTCTTTTTGATGGTGCCCAGTTGTATAAGATGGCCAAACATAACCACATTGTTGGCTAGCCCACCTGGCTAGGAGAGGTATTATCAGATTTAAAAAGCTCCAAGCACCTCTCCCAGTAATGAGGTATAAGGATGCTATGGTGGTAGTGATAGGTGCATGATCTGACCAAGAGAGGGTCTCCACCTCCACTGTTTGAAACCTGGGTAATGTAGCAATGTCCACCAGACTTATATCTGTTCTGGAGTAACCATGGTGTACTGAGGAAAAAATGTATACTCTCAGATGATGAGATCTTTGGCTATCCAGGTGTCATAAAGATTGTTTTGGAATAATAGGTGTCTGAATTTGGCACTTAATAAGGTGAACTTGTTTATTTTTTTTTCTGACCTGTATAAAGTGGATTATGTGCTAGATAATGTGTGAAAATATTTCTAGTATTTATATTTATTGGATTTAAAAGGTGGGTTACTAGAACAAAAGAGGGTTTCCTGAAAAAAATGCAATAGTGGCTTGAAAAGTATTTATGTTTTGGAACGCTAATCTGCACATATGTGGCATATTATGGCCTCTAGCGTTTATATAGTACAGTTTAGCTTAGATTTTAGTGCCACAGAGACAAATTTAGGCTTAGCTGCCACTTTGGTGTGCCAGTTTGGGGTCATCTGTGAAAAGGGGCTGTGAGTGGTCAGATGTTCAGACCTGAGGTTGATTGTTTTAGTCAATGTGGCCTGTTTCAAGGCATAGCTACCACAGCATTCGTCCACTCTCTGCCATAACCAGGACCAATCTCTGCTTATTTTTATTGCATTTTGATAGCTAGTCCAAAGCTTAGCTCTGCTAAGAACACTCCCTCCATGAATGAGGCAAACAGCAGCAATACTAGCAAAAGTAACAATTGTTGATAATTCAAAGTCAAATCTAAGACAATTTAAAAAAAAAAGACTAAAATAAAGGCCAAAGTAGCCAAACTGAAAACAAATCTCCAAGTGATCTATGTTTCTAGTTCAGTTACTGTTCATCATTTTGCAATTCCCTTCTTTCATTGTTCTATGTGGTTCCCACTATATGAAGTGTAATGATTGGCCCCTGTGGGTTGTTTTCTTATAAGAAAAAAAAGCAAACATTTGAACATGCAAAAATAGGATATTCATGTGCAAATTGTATTTAAATTGTTGTGTCAGAGTGTGCTTGTAATATTTTGTCAATTTTTTTTACTTTTATTGTTGCAATAGTCTTGTTACCCTTTTTATGGGTCTCTTTTGTTTGTCCTTATAAAGACTGGGACATTTTGGTTATTTTAGAGTTGCAGTTGGCAATATATAGTGTACACAAAGAACTTAATGACACAATATTTTAAATAATAGGCTTTCATTGATGAGAAAGATGAAGACTATAAGAGGGATCGTATTGCTGCCTGGCACGGTACCAGTTACCTACACCTGAAAGGCATTTATGTGAAAAGTCAAGACTCTGTGTATATTCACCCTGTAAAGAGTGCTGCACTTTGTCATGAGAACATATCTGTCCGTGTTGATTATGACCTTGGAGAAAAAAAGGTCAAGGAAGTGAACAAAGTCAACGAAGTGAAAGTATTCTATGTTGTATGTATCATTTCTTTCAATGGAAAGGGATTTATTCTAGGCACATATGGGGATTTATTAATAATGCCAGCTACTAATATGCCATCATATGCCATACAAGTATATCTCTAAACATATTTCACCAAAAACAAGGCTTTATCAATGGTGTAAATAGACTTCTGGATTGCCTGCAATTTTAACCCCACCTTTAAAATTAAGTGCATGGTCTCTATTGACCCATCAATTAAATCCATTGTTAAGTTGGATTAAACTGGAACATCCTTACTATGTGGGCCAGCACAATGGTTAAGATTGTTATGGAAATCCATGATACTCTTTCAGGTTTCTTACAAAAAAAATACTTTACAATTTTTGCAAAATGCACAAACATTGCAACATTCCCATTAATGTTTGTATTAGTAGCTTTAAATTTCATAAACATACATATATATACACACACAGGTAAAAGAGGTTGCCATGGAAACATGGAAAAATGCATACTGCATTTCTCCTTCTCTTATTAATAGGGATAACTACAAGTCCTTCAAAGGTATTCCTTAGAGCATTTCCTTGAGTTGGGGCAATAAAACTAACGGGATGGTAATGTTCACAGACTGAATATTTTGGAACTCTAAATTCCCAGGTTCTCTAGCATCTTAACATCTTAGATAAGGGTAATCCTGAGCCAGCATGGTATGACACTCATCATATAGAATGTTCCAGAAGATGCCAACACAGACCATACTCTATATGCATATGAGAAACATAGAGAGGCATTGAGAGAGCATTCGGGGTGTGATTACCACTTGCAGCCTCACTATCTCTTTATCTTAAAGAGTTTACATTGCTTTTCTTAATTGCTGTCCCCAACCCTCTCTCTGGTAATTCAATACTAACGGTCACAGTAGATCTTTCTTTTATTATCTCTCACTATCTAACTTGCTATCTCATGCTCTTTCTCTGTACTTCTTTCACCATTTTCCTTGATGGCCCACCCACTCATTGTCTCTCTTTAAATTATTTGCTATACCACACACTTGCTAATCCATGCATTTTCTCTTCTCTCACAAGCCAATGTGTTCTCTCTGAACCAGCTCTTATTTTCCCTAGCACATTTGTTTTACTATTCCTTTTCTTCCTTCAGGTTTTGGCTAAAAATAAGATTTTGTACAGTGGCCAGAAGACCGTGAACCTGGAGAAAGCAGACTGTACGTTGTATTATTCTTTTCAATGAATGCTTCGCTTTATAACTATTAAACACGTATCCTAACCTGATATAAATCCAAACAAGGAAAACCCCATTGTTACTAACGCTTGAAACAAAAGCTATAATGCACAGAATTTGCCAGCATTATTTTCTTAAAGCAACCAATTACAGGATCTTAGATTATTTCATTTAAGTGATGTAGTTCTGCAGCAATTTTCGTTTTCTGTAGTAAAAAAGAAAATAAAGTTAATTAAATGTTTATTGAGCACTCTGTAACAAATATTTTAGTATACAGGTATAGTAAAGGGGGAATCAAAGCAGACAAGAATAAATGCACACAAGATTTTGAAAGATTGGATTTACAGCTTTGTGCTCCACAGTGACAATGTCAATAATTAGATTCTTTGTAATTTTGGTGAGATAGGTCTCTGTTGAGTTTTGAAAGTGATATTCTAATTGAAGATAGTCAATATGTTGAGCTGACAAGATTAGAGAGTTGGATATCTACTAGCTGGAAAAGAGGCTTGAAGGTGGAAAGAAGAGAAGATATTGTCTTTTACAATCAGTTAAGAGAGGTTCTATATAAAATTGGAGTCAAAAACGCATATCTGATGATGAACTACTGGTGAAAAGACTATCTGAATATGACCATTAGCATTAGACGGAAGCACGAAGGAAGGAGGTTAACACATATGTAAGAGATTGGATTTAAAAGTGTTGCATCTTCTTCTGTAACTGGGATAAATAACCCTAGAATACATGAGAATATGAGAAATGCACAATAAACATAGGATTTTGTTCACACACAGTCTAGAATCGAATCGCAAATTATATTCCGGTCAAGACTCTCTCTCTAAATCTCAGGGAATATTTGGTTAGTGTTGTGCTGTATGATGTGTGAGCATCACTAAAGTATATATTGAATGTATCAAGTAAATGTGTGTTTCTGTAAATGTAAATGTGTGTTTGATCATGTTGACTCCAAAACAAGAAGGTTAAGTATATATTTTCTGATTGCGATCGTGTTATTTTCTCTTCTTCTCGCACTTCTCAGCACGTTCAGGATCCATGGAGATTTCTCTCCCAGTCCGAGATGTTTCTCCCACTGGGAAGATTCTTGTTTTCACCTTATCTGATGATGGTGAGGTGGCTGTAGATACTGCAACGTTTCAAGTGACTGCATGCCTGAAGCAAAATGTGAGTAGGAATGATCAAAAATCTTAAACACCCTGTACTGAATAGGACAGTCCTAAAATTGTACATTTATTAATTTGGATATTAATAAAAAATCAAGAAAATATCAGCTCGAATAAACCTATCCCTTTTAAGCATATAGTCTTTTAAACTACACTATGGTCTTCTGAGCTAATCCTTTAGTTAGCAGTATGCTAATAGACACACTTTTCAGAACCACTAGGGGTGGTCTAAAGCAATACACAAGCAAAATTGAGTAAAAACCTCAATACTTAGTACATTATAACAGAACCTTTCCATTGTCAACTAAACATGGTCAAATTAATCCAAAAAGAATGTCAAAGCAGTTATTAAGCAAGTCAGAATCTGACCAGCTAGTGTTATATTAAAAAGATCATACCTTTGCTTTGAATTTCAGGTCACTCTTGGGTTTTCTGAGGAACGTGTGCACCCCAGTTCACTTGTCAAGTTGAATCTGAGAGCCGCCCCTGGTTCTTTATGTGCGCTCCGTGTTGTTGACAAGAGTGTTACATTGATGAAACCAGAAGACGAACTCACAGAGGCTAAGGTAAGGTTTCAAAGGATGTGATAAGTTAGAAAAAAAATATATGTAATATTATTTATAAAGTTGTATGAATGTATTTGGCATGTATTTTATTGAGCAATTCAAGATATCTGACATATAGATACAATTTTACACTTTGGTACTCAAATTGCTATTTTGAGTAAATTAGACAATGGAGATGAAGTTAAGAAAATCTAAGGGGAAGAGAAAAAAAAAAAACTACTAATATTGAAAAATATTCTTATTTAACTTCACCTAACCTGGAATATTGGGAATATTGTGACTTGCTCTCAGAACTAATCTTCATAACTACATAAATACATTAAAAATAATTTTAAAAAGGGCTACTAGAAATTGGATCATGGTTTTCATAATAATAAGTACCAAATAATAGGGGAGTTAAAAAAGTACAAGACTGATATTTTTCACAGAATGAAGGTATTTAGGAGAAAAGGACATGGAACATTAGGAAATACTTTATTACAGAAAGAGTTATAGGTACAGAATAGGTTGCAGAATTCCAGAAGGAGCAATTCTAGTATTCATTTTTGTACACATTTCTAAGATAAGTTCTAATAAGCTGTTCTAATTATACAGCTTCTACTTTAAGGGACCCTCCACTGCCCAAATGTTTTTTTTTAAAATCACTATTTAGTAGATATACATCTTATTAAAACTTTAAAGCTTTTAATTGTGTGTTTTTTTCATTGTGTGTATGTCTAAAAAATGCTTGTTAAACCTGCAGATTTCTTGCCTGAAGCCTTTGTCAGCCCTCCCCTACTAACCCCCTCTCAGACTTTCTGTGGCTGTCCAATCACAATCTATTCATTTAAACATATCTACTAATACGTAAACCTATTGATTGTATGTTTTTGACTTGGTTATAGATTCAAAATCTTATCAAGACTCAGCCCTATTATCCGCCATATGAGAGCTTAGATTATGAATTTTGTCGTGATAATGGACCTACAACTTATTGGGGAATAATTAGTGAAGAACTTATCTCTTGGTGGCATCCACGGTATGTCTATCCAGTGAAGAAGAAGGATATTCAGAACATAATCGAGGTTAGTAACATACGATTAAGATAATATATGTAGATACGCGTTGAAGATGTTGAAGATAGGAAGATAGGAAGAGTTGCTATCCAAGCAGTTTGATTTGGCAATATTGGTACCCAAATAATAAAAGACTTTCCTGGGAACTGGAATTATGATCTGGAGATCAACAAGATAAGATGTAATAAGCCACGTAGAAACAGAAGGCAGCTCAAGAGGAGAGTCAGCAAAGGTATTTTTCCTCTGCTGGTATCTCTAGATCTGGAGCCTCTTAAACAGGACAGAGTATGGGAGCTCATGTCATGCTAGCTCTCTAGAGAGAGTAGTGTCAACATTTTTATTTTATTTTTTTTAAATGGAGAACCCTTTCTTTGTTAAGAACTCAAAGTATCCAATTTTTATATAAAGAGGTATTGTCAGTACTCTTACTCAACTAAATTGATGTGATTCAGATGTGTCAGGAGTGCTACTCAATGCCACTCTTTTGAGAGACTGGAACTGGAGTCTTTTCAAAATGCCCTGCATACACTCAACTTTTTTATGACCTTCATGCAGAGCATGGGGCATTTAAAATTTCAATGGGTGCTAGATTTTCTGTTAAAGCAAGTACAAATTAGAAATGAAAAATGTAATTTAAAAACATAGCAGAAAAGTGACATTTTAGCTCCATATTAGGATTACCTGGTCAGGGATAAATAAGTCTCTATCACTTCTAGAGCTATAATTTAATGATTTTAAATCTGATGGGTTATTCATAGGGCAATAGGGAAAAGTCATGGATGCATGCAAGGCCATTTGGACTGCAAACTCCAGACTTTGTACACACACCATTCAACGCTGTCCAGATCTTGCCACTATCCGGGGCCCATGCAACTACATCATGTGGGAATATTTCAGTAAGCCAATCAGAGTGCTCGGACATTGCTCGAGACTTAGAGTGTTCTTACTCATATTGCACAACGTGCAATGCAGTAGCTGTCATAGTGTGGGAACGCCTTTCTAAGAGGCCAAAGAAAAAAAGAGTTAGAAGAACGAAGACTTTGTCTAAGGCAAAGGAAAGGTTTTTTTTTACTGTAAGAACAATCAGGATGTGGAATTCTCTGCCTGAAGAAGTGGTTTTATCAGAGTCCATACAGATGTTCAAACAGCTACTAGATGCATACTTGCAAAAGCAGAATATTCAAGGATATAATCTTTCAATGTAGGGTAATAACTGCTTGATCCAAGGATAAATCTGACTGCCATTCTGGGGTCAAGAAGGATTTTTTTTCCTAGCTTGTTGCAAAATTGGAAGTGCTTCAAACTGGGTTATTTTTACTTTTGGATCAACAGCAAAAAACACATGTGAGAAAGGCTGAACTTGATGGACGCAAGTCTCTTTTCAGCTATGTAACTATGTAACTATGTAACTATGATGGTAAGTATAATTTAAAATTTTGCAGGCATTGGTTTTCTTGGCTTCCCCTCAGTATTATTGGAGTGAGGGGAATAAGTAGGGTTCATTCATTTAAATGTGTGTGATTAGAGGATAGGGGTCCCTGAATATTATAATTAGGGGCCCTACCTCCTGCTAATGAGTCAAGCTCAGGAAAAGGACACTAGGTTCTTTTGACCCCCGTAAGGTTTTTAATTTATTTTTTAAAACTTTTTTAATGTGGTGGTTGGCTAGCAAGCATTGGCTAGTTGCCATGTTAAACATTTTGTATAAGATTCAAATGTAAAAACACTAATTTTAATCTGGACACCGAATGCACCCTGTGATTACTGCAGATTCACACGGTGTAACTGAATTCCGACCATCCGTAACTTTAGTAAATATGAAAATTGCCATTGCCCATTTTCACTGGATTTTATCCATCTGGACAAAATTCGATGTTTAGTAAATAACCCTGTGAAGCTACTACTACTTAGTGCAGGAACATCTCACTGGCAGAAGATAAAGGAATTGTGCACCCAGAAGACAAGCCTATATTAAAATAAATGGTATGGTTGCTTATGGGAGTAAAATGAATGATCACTGATGTGTAGTACTGGTGAGCAGAGAAGTGATGGTGTAAAGAAGAGAAGAGGAGAGCTGAATATTTGCCCACCTAACATTCCCTTTTTTATGCTCTTCTGCAGGATATGGGACTTACCATCGTAACCAACTGGAACGTTATGGCACCTGTGACCTGTAAATTTGAGAGAGGTACGTATAAAATTCACAGAATAGGTTAGGCTAGTGGAATAACACCGGCCTAAAGGCGGAAAAAAAAACTTGCTTTCTTATTTTATTTTCTTCTTATTTATTATGTATGGCATGTAATTGCTTGGAGGAACAATTCAAATATATGGTATGTATTGGCTTAGAAACTCTATCTGTTCCAAGTACCCTAGGTATAATGTGATTATAATGTTCGTACTTATATTGTTCATTATGTTATTGGTTTTCAAATACATCTTTGATGTTACCAAAACCCCGTATTTGTGGTTTGCTTTAGATACTATCGTGTTCTGAGATTTAAAGCCAAAGATTTCAGTGGGACAAGTGGGGAAAAAACAAAATAGAACCTTTTCTAAGTGGCTGGTTGGAAACTGTGGGAATCATAACATTCTCAAACTAATAGGGTAAAATGTTATGAGAGACAGCAGACTTCCACTGGTGTCACTTGTAACCACTGCACTTGTATGCGTCTACACCCATTTTGTCTGCAGCTCACATAACAAAATTAGGTGTGCACACAGCTTGTGGCTGTGGACATTGGCCTATGCTCCCTTACATGTGCTATGTGAGTCTGTGAATCTTGGCCAAGCTTCTGCAAGATATCAATATATCTTGCAGGAGTACAGCTGAGCATCATAGAGCCGCATGGCACACGTAAGGAGGTACAGCGCTGACTCACATCAGGTGATACAGGCAAAGTAAATATGACCAATATGGCATGGAATGCATATGAGCATAATAAAATGTGTGCGATGTCGCATGGACATGGGCATCATAATATATACTCAATGTGGCAAGTGGGCAATGTGACATGATGTGGGCATAATAAAATGGAGACAAACTGAAATATAAGTAGACCTCATGGCATGTGGGCAATGTGACATGATGTGGGCATAAAAAAATGGAGACAAACTGAAATATAAGTAGATAACAAGAAAAAGGAAACTCAAAAGGCTGGAAAGTGGGAGGGGAGGAAAAGACACTCCCGTATCCCACTGCCGAGCCTCCAGAGTATAGAGGTCACCTGGACTGGTAAAAGGGGGTAACCCTGGAAATTGTAGAAAAAAAGGAAGAAAAAAAAACCCAAAAAGGGATGTCTTATATAAAGACCGCCCAGAGGGTAAATACCCAGTCCAATCTCAACAGTAGTGTAGTTGCCAAAAAAAAAAAAAATCCTTTATTGAAATCTATTAAAAAACCTGGGTAATCAGTGATGGACAGAATAATATAGGGAGAAATATGTATGGTAGGAACAAGGCTAATCAAGAGCCAACCCTCACAAGAAGCAGAGAGGGGATAGAAGGCAATATGTACCCCCATACATAACTCAGGTAACAAAGCAGTAGGAAAGAACAGGGAAAGGGAGAAACACACACTCCCAACCAAACAGTAGTGCTATGCTAATACCCTATCTCCTATAAAACACCTTCGTGGGTGTTCTAATCTAAATGCTGTCATAACATCTGAAGCCCCAGGTTACACACACATACTAGAAAAACATAAATGAAAAGGTGCTCAGAGCAAAGTGCTCAAGAGAGTATTAAAAACACAGAAGAACCCGACGTACGTTTCGGCGTGACCACACGCCGTCCTCAGGGGTATCAGCAGTGAGCAAAAAACTGTCCGGGTGGTAAATTTATACCTTAAGCTCATAAGCTTTATTGTAATCACCTGTGATTGTGTCTAAATTGCTCCGGTCCTCCTGCGAATGGGGCTGTGGGGGTGTGGTGTAACACACCATAGTGTCAGCCCACATTTCTATGTCAGAGGTAGCCAGAACAGAAATCAGGTGAAAGGGAATTAACCCTTTGAGTGCCCCGCCCGGAACAGATATAAATGGATACTTACTATATCTAAAAGGCAGTATCCATAGCTTAACAGTTAACCCTTGGAATGTCCAAATTGTATCATATAGGTCAAGTGTGTGGATTGATTCTTATGGCTGTATTGTGTAGCTTTAGTACAATTAAAGAAACAACTTATAACCGTTGTGAACCAGTAAGGGATAAGTACAATGGCTATATGGGCAGTCATACACAGAAGCCGACAATTCTTTTATTGCCACTGTAAATAGTAACCCATTAGTTTATGCAACACAAAACAGACCCCTAAACTCTTAGACCTATAATGCAGGTAAAATTAATGGACATATGAACACCAAATATAATAGAAATAAATAAAGAATATATACATATATACAGGCATAACTTAAGATACCATTTATTATCAGAATTATTGCAGGACTTTGAACAAGGTAGAATTTACCGTTCTTTTAAAAAGAGATCCAAAGTAGACTCTGACCAATTCAGTACATCTGAGTACGAATCAATCGATACTGAAACTGAAAAACCTCAAACCCCTACTCCTAGGAATCCAACTAAAAGTATTCTAAAAAAGGGGGTGGATTTTTTAGGATTAAGACAAGCGGATCTAACTCAGGGTCCGCACACCAGATACAGGGGCAGAAGTCAGAGACGACGCAGGGAATGATAGCATCCTCTCTGCGTATTATTAATCTCTCTGATACCATCCTTGGTCAGACCGAACTTAGCGTATTGGAGAAGGGTCTTTCATTCGTACCCATTCCAACATTCAGCAAGTTCAACTGGACTAAGGATGTAAACCTTTTTGTGAGAAAGCTTGCCTTGTATAAATACCATGCAGTACGTAAAGAAACTAAGGCCCAAAGCTTGGGTCTATCACCAAATGACTTGGAGTGCTTAGACACTCTGGTGGAATTACTTAACTCTGGAGATGGTACTATACAATCTGATATACCACATACTAATTTGAAACCCAAGAGTAAGTTTACCCCTCATTTTCAGGATTATAAAAATTTGGAGGTATTTTTGGAAATGGTTACTAGGGAAATAGATAAGACAAAAATGGATGATTTTGATCTATCCCCTAATGGCAACCTTAATACTCAAGGAACTAATAGCCCTGAAAAAACTACAGAGCTATACAAATTTGATTTTCAAACCCTCTGATAAAGGGGGCAATGTGGTGATACTTGACAGAGACCACTACATTCGTATAGCTGAAAGACTTTTATCCGATAAAAATACTTACCGCATACTAGCAAAAGATCCTACAAAAGCGTTCCAAGCTGAGTTAAAAACTATGCTTACTAAGGCTGTGAATCATCAACTCATTAATCAGGATGAGTTTGAATTTATGTGCACCAAACAACCATGTCTATCTACTTTTTATTGTTTGCCTAAAGTGCACAAATCACTAACCGATCCGACCGGTAGGCCGATAGTTTCTGGTTGTGATAATCTAACTCAGAATGTAAGCATTTATGTGGATAAAATTCTGTCCCCAGTAGTACAGAAGCTACCATCTTTCCTTAGAGATACTAAACAAATGTTGCATTTATTGACCAACCTTACTTTACCTCCAAACGCTATCCTGTGTAGCCTTGACGTGGAGGCCCTTTACAGCTCAATTCCTCATAACCTAGGTATTAAACATACCCGTCAACTATTAAATCTTGAAACTGACCTACCTGAACATTATGTGAATTTTGTGATGGAATTACTTGAATTCATTTTGACTCGTAATATCTTTCTGTTCAATGGCAAAATCTTCCACCAGACCACTGGTACAGCTATGGGGACGTCTTGTGCACCCTCATATGCCAATCTCCATCTAGGCTGGTGGGAAAGGTGTATTAGGGCAGATCCTAAGCTGAAATCATACACTAATCAGATCTTCTATTGGAAAAGATACATCGATGATGTGTTTTTGATTTGGCTTGATACATCAGAGAGATTCAAAGAATTTGTATGTCTGCTGAACAGCAACGATTTTAACTTACGATTCACTAGTGAAGTAGGGGGTCAAAACCTTTGCTTTCTAGATCTAGCACTACAGGTATCTAAAGAAGGCAAAATTGAAACAACCTTGTACAGAAAGAAGACAGCCTCAAATAACCTGCTATGCTGGTCTAGTCATCACCCCATATCACTCAAATCCGGTATCCCAATAGGCCAATATTTGAGACTTCGACGAAACTGCTCCACGATGGAGGAGTTCAAATTAAAAGCAAATGAGCTACGTCACATGTTTAAGGCCAAAGGTTACCCAAATAGGGTTCTGAAAAGAGCCTATCTGAGGGCAATCCACACTGAACGGGAAACCCTAATTACAGATGGGGGTCGTAAGACTGAGGAAAATAAAATACGCTGCATAGGTACATATGATGCAGGATGGGACACTATGCTGAATGTCTTTCAAAAATTCTGGCCTATCCTCCAATCAGATAAGCATCTGAAGGAAATTCTGCCATCACTCCCTTCAATTACAGCACGGAGGGGCAAAAACTTGAGAGATATCCTAGCACCTAGTCACCTCTCAACTACGTCCCCGTCAGGTTATTTTCAAAAATACCTACCAATGGGTTCTTTCCAATGTGGTCACTGCAGTGCATGCCCGTTTATTACCAAGAGGGCCTCTGACAGCAAGGGCTTAATGAATTTCAAACCACGTTCCTTCTTTAATTGTAACACAACAGGAGTAGTTTACCTACTGTCTTGCTCCTGTGGCCTAAAATATGTAGGCAAGACTTTTCGCCACTTCAGGCTAAGGATACGTGAACATGTAAATTCTGTCAAGAGACGTTTGGAAACACCTGTCTCAAGGCATTTACATCTACATCACAATCACTCCTCGGCAGGCATCCGGTTCATGGGTCTTGAACATGTACCACAGCCTCCTAGGAAAGGAAACTGGGATCTAAAACTAAGACAAAGAGAGGCGTTTTGGATTTACCATCTCAAAACGCTATCTCCCCTGGGGCTAAATGAAGGGTTTTCATATTCCCCGTTTATTTAAAGTACTGCAATAATTCTGATAATAAATGGTATCTTAAGTTATGCCTGTATATATGTATATATTCTTTATTTATTTCTATTATATTTGGTGTTCATATGTCCATTAATTTTACCTGCATTATAGGTCTAAGAGTTTAGGGGTCTGTTTTGTGTTGCATAAACTAATGGGTTACTATTTACAGTGGCAATAAAAGAATTGTCGGCTTCTGTGTATGACTGCCCATATAGCCATTGTACTTATCCCTTACTGGTTCACAACGGTTATAAGTTGTTTCTTTAATTGTACTAAAGCTACACAATACAGCCATAAGAATCAATCCACACACTTGACCTATATGATACAATTTGGACATTCCAAGGGTTAATTGTTAAGCTATGGATACTGCCTTTTAGATATAGTAAGTATCCATTTATATCTGTTCCGGGCGGGGCACTCAAAGGGTTAATTCCCTTTCACCTGATTTCTGTTCTGGCTACCTCTGACATAGAAATGTGGGCTGACACTATGGTGTGTTACACCACACCCCCACAGCCCCATTCGCAGGAGGACCGGAGCAATTTAGACACAATCACAGGTGATTACAATAAAGCTTATGAGCTTAAGGTATAAATTTACCACCCGGACAGTTTTTTGCTCACTGCTGATACCCCTGAGGACGGCGTGTGGTCACGCCGAAACGTACGTCGGGTTCTTCTGTGTTTTTAATACTCTCTTGAGCACTTTGCTCTGAGCACCTTTTCATTTATGTTTTTCTAGTATGTGTGTGTAACCTGGGGCTTCAGATGTTATGACAGCATTTAGATTAGAACACCCACGAAGGTGTTTTATAGGAGATAGGGTATTAGCATAGCACTACTGTTTGGTTGGGAGTGTGTGTTTCTCCCTTTCCCTGTTCTTTCCTACTGCTTTGTTACCTGAGTTATGTATGGGGGTACATATTGCCTTCTATCCCCTCTCTGCTTCTTGTGAGGGTTGGCTCTTGATTAGCCTTGTTCCTACCATACATATTTCTCCCTATATTATTCTGTCCATCACTGATTACCCAGGTTTTTTAATAGATTTCAATAAAGGATTTTTTATTTTTTGGCAACTACACTACTGTTGAGATTGGACTGGGTATTTACCCTCTGGGCGGTCTTTATATAAGACATCCCTTTTTGGGTTTTTTTTCTTCCTTTTTTTCTGAAATATAAGTAGACCTTGTGGCATGTGGGCAATGTGGCATGATGAGTGCATAATATGGTGGAAACAAACTGATATATATATATATATATATATATATATATATATATGCAATGTGGCATGTGGGAATATTAATATAGCTTACAGTCATATTTGTATTATATTTGTATTATTTAAAACAAAAATAGCAATGCAATTTTATTATGAGAGAGTGGATGTGACAAAATTATTTTGAAACTATTTCATGTTTACATTTACACAGACATTCAGTGCGCACATACCAGGAAACAAAAATGTGCACAACACAATATTTCTACACACATTAATTAGAGGTAACTTTGCTTGTAACAAAATACAAGGTAACAAGGTGGATAAAAAAGTATATATAAAAAAAAGTTGTTTTTAATTAAAATGTGATTATTTTTTAAAATGTAATTTAGATTTATTTTAATAAAATATTTTAGGAGGTAACATCTATCTAATTATAGTTAAGATCATCAGTCTTGAGGATCTCAGTCAATTGAATGCTTTCCCATAAGAAAGCATTGGGAGGATATTGCTCATGCTTGGTAAAATGCCCCGCTGCAACAATAAGCATCTCCTCATAGAGATGAATTGAATCAATGCATCTCTACGCTGAAAATAGGTGCTGCTCACTGTGCAGCATTGAAATAGGAAGTACCTCTAGTTACTGTCTGAGTGACATCATCTAGAGGTGTTACTAGGCAGCAATGAAAATACTGCCTTTTTTCTGAAAAAGCAGCATTAACATTGCTGAGCCTGTAGTAGTTCTGGTGACTGTAATGTTCCTTTAAATCTTCAATATAATTGCCAGGAATTCCAAGTGGACAATCTATTAGTCATGAAAGTAGAAAATAGCAGTGAGCAACTGTTTGTAATATATAAGGAATATCACTTATGTGGTCAGATACTCAGAGTAAGACTTGTGGCAGTTGATTGTTTATTTATTTCATATTGTTAGCAAAGCTGTCAAGGCAAAGCCTGGTATACAATGCAAATCATCGAGAAAATAAATGTGTGATGAGTAAAAGCCGATGTGGGCTCCTATTCATCTAAGGCTGGGGAAGGCAGCCTTTGTGGACTGTATCTCCCCTGATGCTTTGCCAGCATTATGGTTGTAAGAGCATTATGGGATATGTAGTCCACAATATATGGAGTGCCAATGGTTGCCTACCCCTGATCCATTTTATAAGGAAATTAATGTTTTCCTTTGCAAAAGGCCAATGACAATGCATGTTCATGTATGGCATTATGTGAGAAATGTCTGATTTATAGACAATTATATGCAAGCATGAATGCATATGAACAATCCATCAAGTAATGAAGATGACACTTTATAATGCTTAATATTCATGGAATTCACTTGTAAATACACTTGGGGGCCTGACAGTTCTTTGATGTGAAAAAGTTGCATATTATTTTTTAAAGGCTTGGGTGTGAGATGCAATTCATTAAATAAAAACAATTGTGTTCTTCAGAAATGATGACGATGACTGGCATCATGGTTTCTGCTTCTTTGCATAGTGGACCAGTTGCAGGTAAGCTAAATCCTCATGAACTGCTGATATTATGGAGGCAAGGTCAGCCTGGAAGGAAGAAAACAGTGCTGACAGAGTAGTCTTGCATTATTTATGTATTTATGTCAGCTGGCAACTTGTAGATTTGCTCCTCTGATCCATTTTTAGGAAGGTCTCTCGTCTTTAATACAGTGTGATCAGGAGCAATTATGAAGTGAAGAGCAGTCCAATGGGTAGGTTGATTATGTTGCTCAGCAACATGGTTGTTTGCTTAGCTGGCCCACTGGGGTGAATGCCCAATGGCCAGTCTACACCTGATGCCTATAGGTATAACTCCACAATACTTTTATATATGAACATCCTGCACCTCATATACCCATTATAAATGTTGACTGCACCAGTATAACATCATAATACTCCATTCTATGTACTGACTGCCCCAATACAACACCACTGTGACGGTAGTCACCATTATTGGGGTTGGAAGACAGACACTAAATGTTGTTCCAGAGACACTGCCAGGCAAGTTCAAACTAGCTGCCCTGTCCCTACTCAATCTCCCATTTTGATTATCAGCCCTTGATATTGTCTGGTCCCACCATTCACTGTACTATAGTGCTCTACTCACCCTATTGAATGTAAATTAAGCTGCTGGGGGCATAAATATGCTATGTATATTAAAGTTAGTTGTTGTTTTAACCTTCACCTAATGTCATCTGGTGTTTGGGAAAAGAGTTCTGATTACTGCTCTGCTGATGAAAAGGGTGTCCAGGGCTATGATCCTAGTAGTCTGGTCCAAGGTGAACAAGGCCCTCAGCGATCCCAGTCAAGCCTGACAGCTACCAGGAAGAGCAGTTGGCAGAGGTACTTGGTCGAAGTACCAGAGCTCGGTCGCATTTGGTGGCAGCTGCGGGATCGATTGCTTTCTTGCAGGATACCTCTGGAACACCTCTGGAGACCTGATGGAGAACCGTAGGTATGGCAGTTTCTCATAGGAAGAGGTTAAGGAATCAGAGTTCCTGAAAGATGCACTATCAAAACTATCCCTGTTTGGGCCAAACATACCAGTAGAGATAGTACTTCAGGTTATGGCAATGGCTACAAGTGCATCCATAGCATCTGAATTCCAGAGTTGACTGTTACAGGCACTTAATCTGCTCAACAGACCAGTTTCAGAGGAGAAGACCTTGAAACTGTGGAATCAGATACGCTTGGAGCTCTGGGAGATGGCGCTCCAGTTTACTAGGATATATTGAAATGAATATCTCAAAACAATGAGCCGAGGTTCAATGGGAGCTGAGGATAACATTACTGGGAAAGCAGCCCCAGGGGGAATGGTTATCTGAAATGAAAATGCGGGTCCAGCAGGAAGTGGAGCTTGACAATTGGTAGCGTGCTCTGTAGTGGCTGTCCAGGGAGGCTGGACAGTGAGCTCCGATCCCCAACTCCATATCAGAGGGGGCCCAACCACCCTGCCTTCCCTCCATCATCTGAGAGAGATGCAGGGAGATGGGACAGTGGGCACGCATCTCCAGAAGCAGGTATATGCTTCAGAATATGCAGAGGTCGGATGGGTGAGTGCTGCTCTTGCATGGGTAATTTGTTTGGGGTACCAATTTGGTGATGACATTGCTGGGCTTGATGTACTGACTAACTTCGGAGTCAACTCGACTGCGATCTTCAGTATTGATCTCGTTCCAAAGGGGAAGAAATGTGCTGTAAACTATATTGGACTGGAGACACAGGGTTACAAATTTTCTATTGGGGTGTGTGGGTGTCACAATAGCCCCTTAAGAGTGGCGTCATATGCGGTTAGGTTTGAGTTTGGGAGGGGGGTCATGGCAGATTCACTGGCAACTCCCCTTCTCTACTTCCAATTCTCCTCTTATGGCTAAGTTACCCTGTGTGTATTAGGGGCACAGGGTGCCTGGGAAGTCCAATCTGGCCTGACCAAACCAGACTTCCACCGACTGCTCGTCTATGAGACTGGGACAAACTTACAAACTATGTGGAACATCGTCGAAGAGGCTGCCAGGTTGGATGGACTTGTTACTTGACTAACTCAGGTACAGACCGATTGGAGGTCTGGTACCTGGTTAGTCTACCTTTGGGGGGGAAGATATGTGACGATAGCCACCATCACTGGGGATGGAATACAGACATTATAATGTAGGTCCCAAGATTTCTCTTGCGCTCTGGTCACTCTGTGTCCATTATTGGTGCAAGGTATGTTGAATGTATTGAATGTCCATGTTGTATGTGCCTTGCCCCCTCATCCTTTTTCCTATCCTAGTGTTTCCCCAGTAGGGTTCTGTCCAATTGTTTCAGGGACACTGTCAGACCAGTTCAAAATAGCTTCCTTGTTCCTCCTTAATCTCCCATTTTGGCTATCAGCTCTTGATATTGCCTGGCCCAACCCTTCATTGTACTGTAGTGCTCTATTCACCCTACAGGGAGTGCAGAATTATTAGGCAAATGAGTATTTTGACCACATCATCCTCTTTATGCATGTTGTCTTACTCCAAGCTGTATAGGCTCGAAAGCCTACTACCAATTAAGCATATTAGGTGATGTGCATCTCTGTAATGAGAAGGGTGTGGTCTAATGACATCAACACCCTATATCAGGTGTGCATAATTATTAGGCAACTTCCTTTCCTTTGGCAAAATGGGCCAAAAGAAGGACTTGACAGGCTCAGAAAAGTCAAAAATAGTGAGATATCTTGCAGAGGGATGCAGCACTCTTAAAATTGCAAAGCTTCTGAAGCGTGATCATCGAACAATCAAGCGTTTCATTCAAAAATAGTCAACAGGGTCGCAAGAAGCGCGTGGAAAAACCAAGGCGCAAAATAACTGCCCATGAACTGAGAAAAGTCAAGCGTGCAGCTGCCACGATGCCACTTGCCACCAGTTTGGCCATATTTCAGAGCTGCAACATCACTGAGTGCCCAAAAGCACAAGGTGTGCAATACTCAGAGACATGGCCAAGGTAAGAAAAGCTGAAAGACGACCACCACTGAACAAGACACACAAGCTGAAACGTCAAGACTGGGCCAAGAAATATCTCAAGACTGATTTTTCTAAGGTTTTATGGACTGATAAAATGAGAGTGAGTCTTGATGGGCCAGATGGATGGGCCCGTGGCTGGATTGGTAAAGGGCAGAGAGCCCAGTCCCACCTGTGACGCCAGCAAGGTGGGAGGTGGAGTACTGCTGGCATCATCAAAGATGAGCTTGTGGGCCTTTTCGCTGAGGATGGAGTCGCTCAACTCCCAGTCCTACTGCCAGTTCCTGAAGACACCTTCTTCAAGCAGTGGTACAGGAAGAAGTCTGCATCCTTCAAGAAAAACATGATTTTCTTGCAGGACAATGCTCCATCACACGCGTCCAAGTACTCCACAGCGTGGCTGGCAAGAAAGGGTATAAAAGAAGAAAATCTAATGACATGGCCTCCTTGTTCACCTGATCTCAACCCCATTGAGAACCTGTGGTCCATCATCAAATGTGAGATTTACAAGGAGGGAAAAACAGTACACCTCTCTGAACAGTGTCTGGGAGGCTGTGGTTGCTGCTGCACGCAATGTTGATGGTGAACAGATGAAAACACTGACAGAATCCATGGATGGCAGGCTTTTGAGTGTCCTTGCAAAGAAAGGTGGCTATATTGGTCACTGATTTGTTTTTGTTTTTGAATGTCAGAAATGTATATTTGTGAATGTTGAGATGTTATATTGGTTTCATTGGTAATAATAAATAATTGAAATGGGTATATA